CTCTCTCTCTCTCTCTCTCTCTCTCTTTCTCTCTCTCTCTCTGCGGAGTGTTGGCAGGATCTGTCAGTATTCAGGGGCGATGTGGGCTTTAAAGTGGCTGAGCTGAGATTACCAGCATAAGCAGACTGAACCCCCCCATTCTCTCTTTCTCTCTCTCTCTCCCTCTCTCTCTCTCTCTCTCTCTCTCTCTCTCTCTCTCTCTCTCTCTCTCTCTCTGTAATGATTAGGAGGCTTTCAGACAAAGTCCAGCTGCAGTGAGCAGGAGGGAGGAAGAGAGCAATACCAAGGGTACACAGATAGATGGACAGAACAAAAAAGAATGAATGAAAGAAAAGAAAAGAAAAAAAAGAAAAGAAAAGAACAACCAAAGAACCACACGCACTGAGGAGAGCATGCCGCTCTCAGCGGATGAAGGCCAACTAAAGGTTTCTTGCCAAATTAGATTTTCCTCCTACTTTCCTGCCTACAGCGGTGTTAGATAGATCTAGCCTTTCCACTGCTACATTACACACAGCCTCCCCTCTGAACAGGCAGGATGGGATTATCTTCCCTTCATCTTTGGTGGTACACTGAGGAACACTCTGAAACAGGAGCCCACCTACGCACTAAAGTAACCTTTTCATATAGCATCAGACGCATACATGCATACATGCGTACATGTGCTGCTGGGCATCGGTAAATATCACACAGCACACATACCCTCTCACATGTGCATGTACACAGACACGTGGGCACGAACACAAGATCAGGCTCTTTCCACTGATTATGATCCTGGTTGTACCATTTGGATGAAGCAGAACACTGCATGTAGAGTCATTCCGGAGTCATTCAGTGAGCTTTGATGTTACATTATACAACCCTTTCACCGAAGAAACACCAAGTAATGGTTGTACCAGACACTACCTAAAACTGATGGCAACGTTTGTTAGCAGCATGGAAACTTGTCTTATTCAGGGATACAGCTTTCATAACTCAAACCACAGCTTTAGAATGCAGAGACCTCTTACAACACTCACAGAGAATAAGGCATGTCTGTTTAAATAGCTGCACCTTAAATGCCTCATCGAAAACCCATCAGAAATCCATTTTAAAATGCTTTTGTAAAGTGCTTTTGAAATGGCAGTCTGTCATGTGGTCCATACACTAGCACCAGAGATGAGCAGTACATCTATTTAGTTACATGTACTTCAGTAACATTTTGATGGATTTGTACTTTCCCAAGTATTATCAGATGAAGATACTTTTACTTTTTGTCACTGTTGGGACAAAACCTCATATTTCCAGCTTTTAGCGTGTATGTTTTTATGTAGACCAAAGAGAAGAACAGAGCCTAACAAATCTTGGTTCCTTTGCTGATGCTGGAGAACTTCCATCGTAGTTCTAGAAGTTATTCAGAAAGTCAGTAGCTTTTAGACCTGCTACTTCTAAAGTTGTTTTTGGAAAGGTACTTTTACTTTTCCTTGAGTCATTATATCACCAAAATAACACTTTTACTTGAGTTTGGGTTTAGGTTACACTACCCACTCCCTGCCTAGCACACTGGCATGAACAAAGCCAGACTCTGAGTATGTGAGCTCTGACTCCCACCCAGTTTCCCACAGTGTGACTGAAGCAAAGATTAAACTCATCAAGCCAATCACATCTGCTATAACAGGCATCATTTATGCACTGGTCGACCCTCTGTCTGTCACATACAATAATGTAGCACACACTCTCTCACAGATCGCCCACACTGCCGGGTGTATCTGCTTACTTATTCAGAGTTTTAATGAGGAAACGGTGGAAACTGGTAGAAAAACTTCTCCAGCAAACAGACTGGCAGAATGAATCACCTAGCATATTTCATAAGCAAAAACCAAAGGAGGAAAATTCTGGTTATATTGCTTTATTGCGTTTTTACTTTGTTTGTGTGTGTTTATGCTGTTGGGACTCAGCTGTCAATCACAGTTTGTGTGACGCATGGACGTGTGATCCCAATCACTCTGAAGCTGAATTCTCATCATTGGCGTCTAATATACTCTCGCTACTGCCCCCACCTTTCACAGATGCGACTTGGCGAGTGGGCTATTATTTACACATGAAGGTCATATCTTTTCACCGGCGTGGGAAAGTTAATTAAGTCCGAGGGATTGACAGTTCTCGATAAAACACACACTACTCAACTTAATTGCTTTTTGACAGCTGCGCAGAGTTTGCAGAAAGGAGAAATTGAATTTATGGATGATGCCCACACTGGTCGCCTGCTTTTACCCTATGATGGCCTACAGGGCCGCCAGGGCGCCGACCACAGGCACCAATCAATCAGGGGATGGGATGGAGGCAGGCCAGAAGCTGTCATGGTTAGAGATTTCATAATGTTTTGCTTTAACAGTAGTGCTGGGCTGCATGTGTGGTGATATGGGACAGTAGGGAGGTCCTTTGGCTGTTGAATGTGTTGAAGTTTGGGGGGTGTAATAAGTTTCCCAAGTGGCACATAGAGATTATCACAATCTCACTCGGACTGTTTATTTGTTCTATGTTTGTAACATTTTTACAGAGAGCCAGTCTGCAGTAAGTGGCAACAAAGGCTGCAGATACAAATCTCAGTTGGTGGCTGTCATAATAATCCTAACCCATGTGTTATGACCCCTTAATGCTTTCTGAACATGAAAATCCTATCCTCTGCACTGAACCACTGAACCAGTGGTCACATGTTCCTGGAGATCTACTTTCATGCAGATTTCAGTTCCAATCAAAATTTAGCGGTAATGCATCTGATCCAGCCAATCGAAAAAGAACAAGTTAAGTAGCTGAAGCAGGTGGGCAGGTTGTGGTTGGAACTAGCCTCTGTAGGAAGGTAGATCTTCATGACTAGGATTGGTGACCACTGGACTACACCAACTCTGCTCACTCAGTGTCCATATGATGCCTGTCCAGGCCCTGTAGCGTTAACCTACATGCAGGCCCAGATCAATGCTAATTAAAGAGAGCAGGGGGTGTGATTAATAAGAGGGTCACCCTTCTACTATGTTGTGTAATTCTTAGACTGAGGGCAAAGGTGATGTTAGTCATTAGTGGTGCTCTAATTGGATACCACTGTGTTACAATCACCACGTGTCACCAAAACTAGATCAGTGGGTCTCAAGCACTGCTGCCAATCAAACTGTCTACTAAAGCTATACTGACCTCACAGTGCAAGTGCAGATCGTAATCCTGTAAGCCATAGTCATCATTACTTTCTCTATGAATCCTTAAAAATATGGGTGTTCTGCAATTAGTTCTTACATTCCTTGGTTTGTTAGTCACCTAGAACTTGTCTCCAACTCAAATTTGTCTACAAACTGCCATAATAGTGTAAAACTGTCAAAATATTTATTGATGATAATAAAATAATGAATCAAATATATATTGTGTTTTATGTGATATGGTGTTTGCCTCTTATCTAACAGACTGTAATACAAATGACAGAAAGTAGGGCCACAACTAATGATTATTTCCATAATCAATTATTAAGCACCTTATGATTTTTATTGATCGATTAAACAGGAAAAGGAAAAAAATATTCGTTTTTCAATGTATATTTAACATCATACACAAACTTTTATAAAAAATGAAAATACAAACATTATTCCTGTTTATGCATAGTGCTCTTTCAAACACAAACCACCAACCCCATCTTCTACATCTTTTGCAAAATAACAATAGCACTTTTATCAAGGGCACAGTAACAGCTGTTTTGCGCTGCTCTGAAAAGCGATAATCAGTGTGAAAAGCGCAGAAACAAAGGAACAACACTAAGTAAGTCTGTAAATCTTAAATAGCGGTCCAAGTTTTGTTGTAGAGGTAGGCTAATTCTACAACAACTCTGCATTTCTATTTAAATTATTCTCCCTCTAATGGTAAAGCAAAGCTGAATTAATTTATGTCTGTGTGGCTGTTATTACCATGTAATGATATTAGCGACCACACAGAAACAGTGCAGTAATCAGCCATGTTAGACACACACAGTCCTGAAATTCAACACAGCAAAACAGCACTGACAAGAAAACTTCACCCTTTTAATGGAAAAGCATAATTTAGCTGTGCAGTTGAGACAAACCATTTTAAAATCTAACTCTTCCCCACCAGCCAATGGAGTTTATTGCTCTATTTAATAAATTAAAATAGAGCAGATTATTACACATTATTTTTTACTTTTAATTGCAGTTTTAGTATCTTGCTTAATTTACTCACTATGCTGGGATTCTGTAGTGGGGCTTCGTCAGGTGAGTTTAGTTTGACACTATTCACAGGAAAACCTCTTTTAAGATGTTAAAGTGAAACTATGGAGATGGGTATGGAAGCCCACTCCCGTTTTCCTCCTCCTCTGTTTCTGTCCAGATACTGACTTTTGAGCTTCCTTGAAATATTGACGTAATATCTCAAAAAAAAAGTATTTTTTTCAAAAGTCTTGAAATAATTACTTACTTTATCAAAATGTTGACTTATGTTCTTGAGATTTTTGACACTGTCAAAATCAGTTATTAAATTTCATGAAAGTGTGTAATTATGTTCAGATAATACATAATTATTATGAGATACTAAGTGATTATTTCAGCATAGCAAGTAACTATTTTGAGAAAATAAGTCGTTATTCCAACATAGTAAGCCAACATTTTGATAAAATAAGTCTTTATCTTGCCAGACTGACTCAATATTACAATATACTAGGTCATTACTTCAACATAGTAAATCAATATTTTGACCTACTGCTGCCAGAAACAGAGAAGAAGAAAAAACACAGGCAGTTTTTTCTGTTATACCTGGTAGGAATGGGCAGGAATGGGCATCCATTTGGGAGGGTGGGGGGACTGGGGAGTCCTAACTGGGAAAAAAAAATGACGAGGGGAGTAATAAGGCCACCAATCTACATTTAAGGACTAATTTCAAAACCACTTAGATGTTTTTTCCCCATTAATACAATTTTTGGGTCATGACTTCCACAATGAAACACTGACTCAGATTGAGTAACATCCTCTTACCTGATACTCATTGGGCCAGAAGGTGCTGACAGCCAGCTCCACCTGGTGCCACTGTTTGCCCTGAGAGCCAGAGACGTTCCAGACGGGGATGCCCAGGGGGCCACCATTCACCCGCACAAATGCCCGCAGCGTCCCAGGGCTGTGGCCGTCCCGGCTGTACAGGAAGTAGCTGAACTGGACGCAGTGTGTGTCATTCTCACTGAGTGTCTGCAGCAGCAGCTGTGCTCTCTGGCCTGCAGCGTGCTGAGAGGAGTTCACCATCATGTAGGAGCCTGCAGGAACAGGAGGACCACAGCACGGTGAGAGACAATTACTGTAAATAACATCACTGCTGTTAGTCAACATATAGCTAATGAGACTTATGCAAATGTGCACAGTTATTTAGAAATCTTATCTGACAGAGTAGAAATTGGTTCAGGGACAGGATGACTGATGTCTGAACAATGTAGAACTTCCTTTCCTCGACAAATCAAAAGCTATGAGACTAGTTATTAGTGAAGTGCTCTGACAAAGCATATCATCTGAACGAATGTATCGGTTCAAGCATTTAAAATAATATGCACTTCACATTGGAGTGGATCTCACTTAAAAAACAGAACATTAAAACTGCTTGCATTTGGCTTTCACTTAGTTCACAGAGAACAAAAGGGACAGCAAGGGGAAAAAATAGTAGATTTGAGATTTATTATTTTTTTTTTGCAGAGCATCTCTGGCACATTTGTGCTGTTTTCACTTATTCAAAAAAAAAAAACTGTTGTTTCCCATTCTGACTTTCCAAAGCCCTTGTTTATCTATTTCTTCAGCTTCTGCAGTGCTTTTCTCCTTAGATACGTTCAAGGGAACAACACGTTTGGCATCTATCCATCTCTCTCAACACCGAGAACGAAAGAAGCGAAGCACAAGAACAGGTCTTTCATCCAAGAGTAGTTAAAGCCTTTGACTTTGTAGAAAAATGGCAGGCTTTTTAAAGACTATTGGCATATCTACAACCAGATAAAATGCACTTAATACATCCAAAAAGACAAGGAGAGGTGTACATTCACTTTAAGTGGACGGTCCAGCAAGTTTCTGGGTATTACTTAGAACGACATGGTGATTACACATGGAGGGACAGTAGGACACTGAGGTCAGGAGCTCCATCTACAAGGAGAGGAATGTTCTGGTATTACTGAGTGAGTTTTCTATTGTATTTGATTGTTAGTGTAGTTAAACACTGCTAAGCCCAAAGTTAAATAACCAAACTGACTTTTTCATTTTTCTGTCATTGTAGGGACCTAAAGTCTTCGCACGCAGACACACACGCACGCACACACACACACACATGTGCGCACACACACACACACACACACACACACACACGGCCCAGAGCCTCAGTCTCTCTGCCCTTACCTAATCAGGACACACTGACCCAAACACCCTTCAAACCCACAAATGCTAACAAGATTAACACGAGCCTGCTGAGAGACCTTGTTTACCAACGCAGTGCAGAAGACTTCCATCTCCTTACTCCAAGGGCTTTGGGGTGATTCATGGGAGAAATATGAGACAGCGACCAGACAGTCCTTGTTGCCTTGGTACCAGAAGGGTCTTTATTTTGTCTGATGGAGAATTAACGGTCAGAAGGACAGCAAAACCTTGTTAAGAGCAAGAGCAAAAACTTTCTTCACTAAAGGTTAACCGTGTCCAAATGACTGAATGAACTGGAAACAGGATATTTCACAAAACACTCCAGCAATGTGCATCTACCAGGAAAACAGACAAGCGCAAAACAGAGATGCAGAGATGTACACAGTTTATCTCACTGACCTTGTATTCTTTGTATGAAAGTTTCAGACAACCTGATCATCCTTTCTGGTTAACCTTGTGCATTTTGTATGAGAAGTAAAAAGTTCATCTACACTTTTTATGGGTTTGACCAATCAAGGACCAACATCTAAAAGACAACTGAACAGCATGTAATATGGTGGGAAATATCAGATAACCTATTCATTTAGTCAAAAAGTACATTTAGCATAATTAATTAAAAACAATGTCTATTAAAGTCGTCAAATATCGACAATGTAAAAAGCAGAACAGGGCAAAATGTTTGATGTAAAACACTTTTTTTTTCTCCCGAAAAATGTAGTTTAACCAAAATGTTGCTTTGTTATTTCATTTAAAGTATTTATTTGAGCTGAATAAGACCAGATAAATTGCTTACCACATAAAGTTTTATTTGTTTTCAGACTGAACTGACAAACCATTTTTTAGAATGTATAACATTACTCATTTAAATTTTTTTGATTGCTTGTAATCTTTTTATTCACATTAAAATCCGGCTTTCTATTGTTTTGTTGACATGTAGCCCCATGTGACCAAATTTAATATGAATTTAATATGATGAACGATGTAAGTAGAATCAGCCATATGGTAAAGCAATTTGAATAATTTCTTCAGATTGATGCTCAGGTAAGCTCAGTGAACATATGAGCCAAAAGAAGTGTCCAATGTCAGATATAGACATTTAATGATTTTAACCAGGGGTCTCCAACCTCATTCGCAAAGGGTCGGTGTGGCTGCGGGTTTCATTCTATCAAAAGAGGAGCTCAGTTGTGATCAGTTGTTTGAAGGCTGAGACTTGATTAAACAAGTGGGATCAGATGTGCCCTTGCTTTGGAATAAAAGCCTCACTGGCCCTTTGCAGGTAAGACTGGAAACCCCTGATTTTGAATTAATATTTGGACGATGTTTGTGATCACATAGTAAAAATAAAGAGCATCAGTAAAAATCAAAGTCAGCATATCTAAAGTAAATATACATTGCACACAATATAAATCAGATATTTAATTTTGCAAATCTGAAAGCTGGTAGCTGCTTACTCCATACAACTACAAAGATACTGCAGGACTCCCGTGACAGTAGGACTTGGCCTTTGCTCAGGGACTCTCACTGTCCACATAGCACCGGAGCTGCATAAGAATGCATGTCTCTTGCGTAGTCTTGCTCTCTCAAGGCATGTTTTGAAGCATGTTCAAAACTAATGTTCTTCGGTGAAATATAAAACACAAACCCGTGAATCTTCACAGTAGACATTAATCTTGTTCACCACGCTTCACAAAGCCCTTGACTAATTCTGGTAATGTTGCAGTTATGACAAAACAAAAAAGAGGTTTTTTGAAAAACATAAAACTAAAAAAGAGTTGCTGTTGGTTTTATCTAGTCGCAGATCCTCAGTGTTTGGTGGGGCATTAAGAACATTGAGACTTAATCAAAACTGAGACTTTTGTCTCAGTGGGGCCGCCTGATAAAAATGAAAGATAAATAAATAAGAAATACCCAGAACACCACAGAGGTTTCCAGTCGGAATGATTTCAACATCAGACACTACTGAAGCCCTCTTTGATGGAGACACTTTTTGAAGAAACATGAAGAGATGTTGGCTTGATGAATCGAAGACAGATGTTCTGGAAGGAGAGAGAGCAGGCTTTCTGTCTGTTAAGGCAGCTGCTGGGCTTTGGTGTTGCAATCTGTAATCTGGTTCCTGAAGGGTTCCTGGAGACAGCAGGGCAAATGTCACTCTCCACCACTGTGCCCATTACCACCCATGTTGAATGCTATATGACCAAAAAACAGAAAAAAAAAACAGTCCAAAAATTCCAACCAATCCTTAAAGTCCTAACCGATCAAATGGCACGACTGGGTGCGCGTGCAATGAAATTGCAAGAAAATTGCCTTCCCTGAAGAACAGACAAGCACACCTTGTTGCAGGATTGGATCCAGAAAGTAAAAGTCTGGCCATTCTGAGGCTGTCAGATCAAGTGTAACTGATTGTGAAGTGGCACTCAAAAGCCCTGATGCTTGAGGATGGACCGCGCTGCTTTGCAGCTTGGACAGGTTCCACAGACAAGTAAGACAGAGCCCAGAGAAAGCAAGAGGGCTCCTCTCCTCAATGCTGAGCAGGACATCCTCAACTGTTGGATCTGCATACATTTGCCTCATCAAAGCTGCCCTGCATTTAAGACTTGTCATGGCATGTGAGCAGCCACTGCATGGCCTGGTCCTCGAGATAGAGATAAACAACATACGCATTAAGACATCCTTGAAAGGAGCCTTGTAGAGAAGTGAATTTAAAGTAAATGCTCTTGCAGTGAAGTATAGACTGCTCAGCTGTCTTTTTATTGCACTGACAGTCAGATACTGGATATAGAGTCATGAAAGCGAATGAAACACACTTTGACACAGTTCCTTCCAGTTTGACAGGCTGTGAATTCAATTTAGGCACAGGAGTAAGAATCAAAAGCTCAAAATAGCACTGCTACCTTTGTATTCGTGAAGCATTCAGAGTCAAAGTAACATTATGAACAAACAGGAAGAAGAGGAGGTATACTAGTATAACCACCTGTGTATTGTTACTATCATGTTTTTAGTTCCTGCTTTTTCTCTTTTTATATTTACATGCAAGCTTTCTGACAGCAAGACTATAATGACTTAGCCAGAGCAACAATGATGACCATGAAATTCTAGAAATAATAAGTGTGATTTTCTGTTTCACTCTCTGTTGCAATACTTTTGCAATATTGCCACATAGCATTCCTTGTATCTCACTGCTTGTCAAAAGACAGGTTATGGTAAGTGGATCAGGAAATAACTAGACAAAACAAACGCTACAAATGCCAGCAAGCAACAGTGATCTACCTTTGTCAATAAAAATGGTCCATCAAGCAACTGAAACATGCTCCTCAACCTGTGTTTCTATCTTTAACAGTGGTAGACGAAATTTCTCTCAGAGTACTTCACTTCCAAGTCCTGACACCTCAGTGATGTTCAGAAATAAAGACTTGAAGTGAGGCATGGACAATACACAGCACTTTATGCATTAGCGGTCATACATATTCAATTATAAGCCTTGTTTCATCCCATTACATGACTGTGGAACATTATTTTTCTAAGGTGAGCAAAGGTTTTGTGTGAAATGGAGTCATCTCTGCTGCTGCCTGACAGCTTCACTTTGGAGAGAATCATAAATAAAAAGAATTGTGTCCTACTTCTCTGTTATTAATGCAGTGAACCTGTAACCTTACGTTTTTCCCCTGCTTTTTTTTTTTTGTTTCAAAATAATGTTAGAATAAATTAGCTTCTGTGATGACTTACAGTGTGAACAGTGAACTACATTTAAGCTCCAAAATCCTACAGGGTCCATATCCTACATTTTATTTTGTTCTGTTTGACTTCTTCCCCCAAGTATATCTTTATCCTTTAGAAAAAAACAGGCTCATTTTGTTTGCTGTGTCTT